GGCTTGATGTGTTTTAATGAGGTGAAATCTGTTGCGAAAGTAGACATATTGGTAGTTTGGAGCCCACTTTGGCGCCAAAACAGAGGATCGCAACGTTATCATATACCGTATCGTCTTAGTAATAGGCGACGTTTGGTCCTAGGCGACAGAGTGTTTCGACCAATAGCGTGGTAAAAAAATATTACGGTCGGCTAATTTTAGCTATCGGAGAAACTATTGTGCGTTTCAGCAGTTTTGGCAAAGCGGGGGTCTTATTCTGAGTTTAAGCAGCAGCTGGGATGTACTATCCTATCACTTTAGAAGACTCCGACTAAACTATTATCCTAAGACTACGGGGTCTTATCAACGGGAAAAACCCGAATGCCGGTTTCAAACAAGCTATTCAGTGTTTGTCTGCTTATAGTGATGACATTCTCTGAAGACTTGCGCTGGCGTGTTGTGGTTTTGCTGCATTCCGATTGGGACTGTCTCAGCGGTGCTTGGGATTTCAACGCGCACTCTCGGTAGATGGTTGAACCAATTTCAGACTACGGGCAACGTGGACAAAGTTCTTTCAGTCCAAAAGGCATCTCGGTGGCCACAAAAAGTCAATAAATTTGTTGGCGAATACGTCAAACTGCACCTTGTTTCTACTTCGAAAAGCTACGAGCAGCCATCAAAGAACACTTTCCAGATCTTTCTAACACTTCTGACGCAACAGTGTGTCGTGCATTGCGGTTTGATTTGGATCTCTCACGTAAAAAGTTAACAAAACGGGCCCGTGAAAGCGTTCCAGCCGAAAGACAGGATTTTCTAGCTCGGCTTTCACCTTTTTATTCGTGCCCCGAGCAGCTTGTTTTTGCTGACGAGAAGACATCGAAAGACGGACGGTCCATGATGCGCCACCACGCGTGGTCGGTCAAAGGTGAACCTGCAGTAGTTACCCTACCGTTTTCTCGTGGAAAAAGAGTGTCATTGCTAGCAGCTACAGATGTGACTGGCCTTTTTGCTTGGGGTCATGTGGAGGGCACATTTACAAGGGCTTCATTTCATGAGGTGCTGCGCACTGAAATCATCCCGTATTTGAATCCGTGGCCTCTTCCGAGGTCGATATTGATTCTTGATAACGCTAAAATTCACATGTACAAAGAGATACAAGACTTGGTGCATGAAACTGGTGCACTTATATTCTTTTTACCGCCTTATTCTCCTGACATGAACCTGATTGATGTGCAGTCTTTACTGAAGCGATGGGTACATAAGCACGCAAATATGGCCTTCAGGGAAAACCCACTGGCAGTGTTACGAGTGGCGATGGATGTGTGTACAAAAGGTCATGACGACGTCGGCGATCACTTGTATAGGCATTGTGGGTATTCGAAGCAGGTCCTAACATTAAAATAGATATTCATCTTGCTCTTTGTGCTCGTCATCCTCAATATCTGCAGTTGGAGAAATAGGAGATCCAAAGCTTGTTTGTTGCTGTCGAAATGGGGGGGGGGGGGGGGGGGGGGGGGCGTAAGCGTAAATTAAAGGCCGGTAGTCCGAGGACAGATCGCAGATCGTGGATGTTAATATGAACTGGAAGTTCGACATCATGCATCATGATGCGAATAGTAGGATAATTTTCACAATCGTTGCTGTTCATCAATAAATTGTGGCTGGCGAAATGTTGTATTTGCTGGAACTGCAAGTGGAGTTTCTGGTGGCAAACGTGCTTGAGATGTCGCCATCTACAATGATGACGCTGGACCTGACGAAACACCGTTTTGGCGGAGGTATTCTGTCACTCGTGGCAGTTGTTCCTGAATACGAGACTGCGTTGCACGTTGAATTGTTGCTGGAGGCGCCGATTTTGTTTTATGTAGACGAAAAACTCTAACATGAAGTCACTTTGTCCAAATTTTCTGAGTTTCACTCGCCGCCAAATTTGCTCGAACTGCTGTAAGAGGTCGTTATCATCAAGTTTAATAGGCTGGAAAAGCTTCTGTGAAGCGTTATTGCTTGGCTTTAAGTACACGACCATATCCTGCTGCATCGGCACCCCTGTCGCCGATTCGAACAAACTGCCAACCTTGGCACGCAGTGCGTCATGCCCGAGGTTCGCAACGAAGTCGAATTGCCTTGAACGTCCCTTGTTTCTGCATCGGGCTAGTGGTTCACCTTTCTTGATCGTCAACTACAGCGGAATACGTCCGGGAGTGGAATAGCGGCTGGGATCAAGGGTAAACCTCCTATGCTTCTTGTAGCCTACAGCGGGCGCAAGTGCACTAGCGGGTGCGAGTGCGCTAACGACTGCGCAAGAAAATTAGCTCTCCAGAAACGAAGTTTAG